AAGTATGTGTGGGTGAACGAGTTTGTAAACGGCCTTTATCCCATCCAGAACGACATTTGAGAGCATCCAGACAAGTTGATGACACTCGGAGGTAAGTCGAAGGTTTCCTTAACTTACAATTCATAGTGCAGTACAAACAGCTCAAGTTTCTAAGCACACTTTAACTAACTTTTATAATGCATTTAAATTATCATATAGCATCTAAGTGTGATGCACATTTACGTAGATTTAAACGAAATTTTTGAAATTTAATTTTAAAAATTAATTAAGATGACAGAAGAGCGATGTATTTATATTTTTCGCAAGATTGTTTAATGTTATTCAAGAGAAAAATATATTGTTCCGGATCACAAATGTTTACTACTTCCCCTTGGCCTCTTTTTTATTGACAAGATTTGAGGACAAGTTCACTTGTTTTATATTTATTTCGCTTCGTAGAAATGAACAATGAATGGGAGGAGGAACCAAAAGTTTTGCTAAATAAAAGACTTTTGAAATTTTGCGTGAAGAATTAGCTTCTGTCAAATCTATTTGTGTGTGAAGATTTCAGTTTTCTTTAATACAAAATAAACTAAAATGTTAAAATTTATTTATATATTTTAACAATTTTTAATTAAAAAATACCATAAATTACCGTTTTAAAATTTATAATATTTAACACTATAATGGTCAATTGTATTGGATATATTGTACAAAATTAAAAATTATTTAACATATAATTTATAATTTTACATAATATATTTAATTTGCAATATTTATTTACATTGTAATTTAATAAAATATATATTTGCAAATTATTAAATATCTATTTTAATAAATAATTTTTAAAATGTTTCTTTTAATTTGTTATTATTTTTATCAATCTGACTCGATGGCAATTTGTAATTTAGAATTTATGCAGTGGTCTTGAAATATCGTAAATTACTTAAAAGAAAAAATAATTTAAAGACAAGTTTAGTATTTTAAAAAATATCGCTTATTTTTTTTTAATTAAAATATTTAGAAAATTACGATAAAAATGAAAAAATGTTTAAAACTGTCAACAAATATTTTGCATAAATTTAAAAATATTTGTGCAAAAACTTGTTCAAAAATTAATTAACAGCTTCATTAAAGCTATTTACAAAATTAGTCTGTCAATGCTAATAAAATTTATTTTTAAAAAATCAGTTATTTTATCATATAAATTTAAAAAAAATCAATAAAATAATCATTGTAAATTAAGATAAATAAATAAGTATATTTAATATTTCTTAATAAGAATATTTATTTTACATTTTTTTTTCTGTTTGCTTATTAAATTACGTATTTAATTTTTTTATTTTATTTTTTGTGAGTCTGGACTTGAAAACCTAGCCTAAGGCCACGCGTTCTTAGACATTTTGATAAGCAACTCACGTTGGAATTTAAATTTTCGCATTGATTAAAGCTTTCAATCACGGAACACCCAAAAATATCACACAAAAGTTTTTGCACGGATGGATGCGACAGTCAATTATTCACTCTCTTAATAAATCAATCTTTTAATTGAGATTAATGAAATATTTGAATCTGATATTTCTTTTTTCTATATATAAAACAATTTAAATTCTTGAAAAGAAAGAGTTTTATTAAAGTTATGAGGTCTCTCTACAACCTCATAGAAGAGATAAGTACAAGAATAATTATTATTTTATCTATTAAATATATTTATTGCTTTCGGTTATTTAACTCTTCTACGTTTTTGTGGATGTAAGTGCACTAATGTAAAATAATTTTAATAATAAAAAACTATTTTTAAGATATATTTTTGCATAAAATCTTTTATAATTTGCGTAAAGCAAAGAGTTGCAAATTCATTAACATCAACTGGAGATAAACTCTTGCAACTGAATGTAAGTTATTTTCCTCGCGTATCTGAGAGATATATTTATTGTTGTCAGTTATTTAATTCTTATGTTCGTCTATGGATGTAAATTCATAGACGAACATAAGAATATAAAACTATTTGTAAGATAAAGTTTTTTGTAATTTTTTACAAATTAAAGCAGTTAGAAGTATATTTTTATATTTGGAAGCCCAGAAAGGTATAAATACCATTAACTCGAGGTACTACTAACATGTACTTAACATCTCTTGTAGCTGTTGAATATAATTACTGTTATTAAGCACAGTACTTAACGTTCTGGATATAAATGGCGCTAATATAAAATGTTTTTAACACTAAAAACCAATTTAAAAATATTTTTGCTTAAATTCTTTTATAGTTTGCATGAAATAAAGAGTTAGACTCATATTTTTGTGAGTAAGAACAAATAGCATGAAGTGACGAGACGATGTCATGCAACTGACATATTCCATCAAAATGTGACCTTAAGTCGTGACTCATCTGTAAAAATGCAACATTTACCTGAAGTAATTCTGCATTAAAAAATGTAACCCGAGTTCATACTAAATATAATTTACTATATATATAATCTGATAACAGAAGAATGTTATTTTCTTACCGAAATAAAAGTAATAACCCTTTATTTTCGATATTATGTAAAGTTATGACATATTACCGAATACTTTAAATAATAACACTTTTAAATATAAATATTTAATTAAATTCTAGCCTTTTTATGATGTTTTATCGTATTGCAAATAAAAAAAAATTATTTTCAAATTTAGCTTAATTTTAGAATATTATTAAGCTCATTATAAGGATTTGCATCCTTACTGAAGTAAGCTACTACTGAAGAGTGTTCAGTGCTTATTTTATATTTTCTATTAATTATATTTTAAATATATTTTAAACTTATTTACTCTTTAATAAAAACTTTTTTAAAGTAAATATTAGTATTATCTGATAATTATCTAATTTTTCCCCCTTCAAAATCTCTGGAAGAAGTAGGGGTACGCTTTAAATTTGAATTAATACTGTATATAAAACTTTAAAATTAAAAGATATCTTTATAAAGTTTATTTTTATTCTATAAATCTCCACTTTTTAGAACTTTATATAATGAAAATTAAACATAGAATTTTTAAAAAATAAAAAAAATAGAGTACAGTATTGGTTCCAAGCAACAGCAATTTCTCAGCACTGAAAGATATATTTAATGAGTGGAATTTCTGAAATATTTTGGTTAGTTTATAAAATATTTGTGCACGATAGCGAATAAAAATAATTTTGATAGATAATTTCAAAAGAATTCGATAATAATAGCAACTCGTTCGTTAACCAAAGAATTGATAGAATGTACTGAAGCAGAAAATCTGCTAATGTCATTCATTACTCAAAATTGTGTTTATTAAATAATACTTATATACAACAATGGTTTAATGATTTTCTTAAAAAATTAAATTATTTATAGACGAATCAAACACGAATAATTTAAATGTTTATTATTCTTTTTTAGAAATTAATTCGAATATTTCGATATTTTAAATGATGCGAATACAACATTAGAGAAACCAAATAAAAATTTCTCTTATAATCAATTTTAAATTATAATTTGAATAAAATTTCGGAATCGTCCATTTACTGTTTCTTTTCTTCTTAATATAGACTTAACTGAGAAACGTTCGGGTTGGGCACTTCAAAATATATGAAGAGTCCAACCCGGACGACTAGCAATTATAAATGTTAAGTTAATTGTATACCTTCAAAGAAGACAGAATATCATTAGATCAGTAATAAATAAATAGGAGATAAGTAAAAAGAGTAGGGTGGAGGCTGGGCCGAATTTACGCATAAACTAAACATGCTACAGGTTAGGGTCTCTCTTTTAAATTTATTTGATGGAGAGGAAAACCCTCCTATATGCTATAATTTAAGCTTCAATAAATTTAAAGCCGGTCTTGAATGAAGGTTAGTAAAGTCTTCTTTTTTTGGGGAATTTTTGTGGAAAAAAATAACTTTCTTAATAATTTAAATTACACATAAATATTCAAGTTTGAAAATAGCTGCATAATATGGGAGTAGACCTAATAATATCGTTGCGTACTTTATTTTATATTTTATTTTTTCGTATCACGTGATTTTATACTTGTTCAATGAAATACTAAAATGTCACTGTATAATGGAATGAATTGTTGAATTAAAATTAAAATACAGTAAACCAAACGATTTAAATTTGATTTTATAAAATTTTTAGTTTATTTCACAGTGTATATATATATTATTTATTTATTTAAAAATATAAAAGTGTAAATAAGCTTTTTGAAAATATTGAATAAATAATTTTTAATTAAATAAAGAATTTTCAATTAATTATATAATTTAATTTTAGAATAAAATATATTTTTGAAAAAAATTATTATTTTTGTCATTATCATAAAAAATAGAGAGATCAGAGATGGAACTTGCAGCTTTTTGTTGCTTCTAGTGCATTGCACTCTGATAAAATACAAAATACTGATCAAGTTTAATTTTGTGTGCAAATTATGATTTTGTATTCTTTATTCCAATACAAACATCCATCTAAATTTAGTATTTGCTCATTTTAAACATTGAATGTAAACACTTATGCAACTTACAATACAACATTCAGCCTTATGAGATCTCTCTGAAATGATGGCTCCAATTAAAAAAAACAAAGTTTCCTCAACTGTGGCTTAGATTTTTTTTGTTAAAAATAATTATTTATTTTATAATTTAATCTTTAAAACTTCAATTAAATGATTAAAAAGTAATGTAATTAGAGCAATATAATTATTTTAAAATATTAAATAAAATTCTGATAAGAACAGACATTGTATTAATGATATTTCATCATGGTTCTGAATTATGTAATAGGTTTTATAATATTCTTTAGTCTAAACCGGAATTTTAATTAAATAATTAAATTTCTTGCTTTTTAATCATACAACTATCAATCAAATTATCTCTCCTTGATCTATTTATCAGCTTTCTCCTTTCTAATGATTATTTTTACAGATTACTTCTCTTGTATATCTTTCATAGTTTTGAATTTCTTGTTAACAAATTATGAAAAGAATTTTGTCTTTATTTAAATTTATTTTTTAACAGTCGAAGGTCTAGAAGAATATTGAAGAGGTACTAACTAGTTCCGAAGTATTCATAGTTAAGGTTGAATTTGACCTCTAAACCCTCACAAACAGAAACGTCACTGTATGATTTATACGAGGATATTTTAACTAAAAAAAGCTGTAAGTAAGATTTTTCTATTTTAGTTTATAAATCTGTATTATTTTTATATTATTATAACAAATAATATCAAATCAGTTAAGACAATAACTATGAAGTGACTCAGATAGAGGGACTATCGAGGCCATTTGACCCATAACTCGGACATAGAGGGGCCTCGAAATTAAATTTATTTGTATATTCATGCCATATATGTATATATTTAATCTTTAAAAAAGTAAATTTGCAAATGTTACGCTACAATTCTACTATAAATAGAATGTTACATTAGTATTGGTTAAATATTATAAATAAATTAAAATAGGAGTTTCTGTTAGATGAATTGACCTTCTCTGTATCTTTGTTATAGTGTAATTGACTTTAATTAATTTATATAAGCAATATTCAATTTTTAATTAAAAAATAATAACATTTTTCAATTTTTGCAGAGATTTATTCGTAATTTTAACGATTTGAGTTGTAAGAAATGAAAGAAATCGTTTTTATTTGGTTGTTATGTGTTATAGCATCGTCATCAAGATATCCAGGTAAGAAAAATAAAAGAAAATTTATCAGACTTTAAAATAGCTTTACATCTATTTTATTAATTGTAAAATAGATGTAAAGCTATTTTAAAGTCTGATAAATTTTCGAAAATGATAGAAATTGTTATAAATAAATAAATTTATTTTTTTTAATAAGGCATCGAAGATTTACGAGCGGAATCAGATTATCGTTCGATCAAACTAAAATGGCGATATCGTTCATTCAACGGGGTAGAAGGTTTTAAGGTCACGCTATGCGAAACTACTTCCTGGAAGGTCAAGTATCCGTGCAAACAACGTCATCTTCTCCTCAATGCACCGAGGAAGAATTCACACGATTTCGTTCGAAGATCGACCCTCAATGGAGGATTCGAAGCTTCTATTTACGAATTAAGAATGCTGACAAATTATAGTATATCCGTTCAACCTATTTTAACTTCTGGAAACAATGAAGAACTGGCGAAGAATCGTGCTCTCAATGTCGAATCTAATGTCATCACCATAAGCACTAAAGGATGTACGTTTAACGAGCTTTTTGTACCTTTATCTTTCATCTGTTAGTATAAGAGAAGAGGCGAACAAGATTTTACTTCTCGATATCTAAATCACGGAAGTTCACATTGCTTTTAGCAAATTTAATGTGGGAAATTGTAAACTTTAAGCTTGTCAATTTGTTGCCTTGTCTCTTTTTATTAAAGCAACACATTAAACTTTACAGCATCTAATTATCAGGCCCTTCCGTAAGGGCAAGGCCATTCGATCATGGCCTAATATTTACAAGGGTCTCGAAAAACATTTGTGATGAATAATTTATTGCACTCTTATGTATTAAGGAAAAAATTCCATTTTTTATTAAATCTTATTACTTATAAAAAAAAAGAATATATTGAGGCCTCAAAAAAAGAAATAGTTACTGTAGCTCTCTCGACATTTAAGAAATTTTGAGAATAATCCCGAGATAAGATTCGCACAATTTAACCAAGAATTAAGTAAAATTTGCAAATATAAATAATCTTTATTAACATAGACAAAATAGTAAATAAACTGGAATAATTTTAACGAATCAATNACTGTAGCTCTCTCGACATTTAAGAAATTTTGAGAATAATCCCGAGATAAGATTCGCACAATTTAACCAAGAATTAAGTAAAATTTGCAAATATAAATAATCTTTATTAACATAGACAAAATAGTAAATAAACTGGAATAATTTTAACGAATCAATTAAAATTTATTCAAGGAAATATTTTTATACATTGCTTTGTTCTGTTTGAATAATGATCGACTTCCTATTGTAATTTAAGGTTTCAAAAATAAATAATCTTTCAATAAAAGATATAAATAGGATTTTTAATCATTGATCAAGTCTATAATAATAGATCTTGACATGTTTGAAGAGTTGTTATAAATCATATCTCTTTTTATTTTATAATGAAAGACGTTATTAGAACTAATCAATTAAAGTAAACAGTTATTGTTTGACTGACTAACGGAGATAAATATTGATTAAATACCTTTCAAACATTGTTAAACAATAAAGAAAAATAGAAAGATGCATACAAAATAACAATAAACAATTGAACAATTTTTATACATAATAAATCACCTATTATTAAATTAGAAAAATCAAAAGAGAATATTTAATCAATTCGAATAACTTTCTACATTTTATTATAATAATCTTAACTATTTTACTGGAGAAATGCTAGTTTTACAAGTCTAAATCACATTAATTTCATTAAATATATACATTTTTTCCTATACAATTAAGTTTTATGGAGTGTAGAGATCAATACGAAGTTGGATAACAGCTACAGATAAAGTAAATTACATCAATTATGTTTAAGTATTAGACTAATATATTATTATTATCGATAAAAACATATACTTTAAACAGAAATGCTCATTAATTAAAGGCTTTGTTTCTGTATTGTTACTTATGCAATTAAGGATTTATGTGGTTGTTTCTTCATCGAAGACACATCGATAATTTTTTAAAGGAAGCATCTTTTAGGTCAGTGACCTTCGTGAAACGCCCTTTCTGTCAGACGACGACCCTTTTCCCACCTACTTTATCATATTTGATAGATGCTAACTCGACCCCCACTTCGTCTATAATCCTACACGACTATTAATACTAGCCATTTGGAAAAAATTTATCATCATTTTAATTAATACTAAGCTAGCGTGTAGAATCACAACGGAGCAATACGGTGTAACGACCCGGAATGTATACTATATACAACACTGTGTATTGTACAGTTAAGCATGGAGTCCTCCTCCTTCGTGAAGCTCCAGTGAGCGGAAGTATGTGTGGGTGAACGAGTTTGTAAACGGCCTTTATCCCATCCAGAACGACATTTGAGAGCATCCAGACAAGTTGATGACACTCGGAGGTAAGTCGAAGGTTTCCTTAACTTACAATTCATAGTGCAGTACAAACAGCTCAAGTTTCTAAGCACACTTTAACTAACTTTTATAATGCATTTAAATTATCATATAGCATCTAAGTGTGATGCACATTTACGTAGATTTAAACGAAATTTTTGAAATTTAATTCTAAAAATTAATTAAGATGACAGAAGAGCGATGTATTTATATTTTTCGCAAGATTGTTTAATGTTATTCAAGAGAAAAATATATTGTTCCGGATCACAAATGTTTACTACTTCCCCTTGGCCTCTTTTTTATTGACAAGATTTGAGGACAAGTTCACTTGTTTTATATTTATTTCGCTTCGTAGAAATGAACAATGAATGGGAGGAGGAACCAAAAGTTTTGCTAAATAAAAGACTTTTGAAATTTTGCGTGAAGAATTAGCTTCTGTCAAATCTATTTGTGTGTGAAGATTTCAGTTTTCTTTAATACAAAATAAACTAAAATGTTAAAATTTATTTATATATTTTAACAATTTTTAATTAAAAAATACCATAAATTACCGTTTTAAAATTTATAATATTTAACACTATAATGGTCAATTGTATTGGATATATTGTACAAAATTAAAAATTATTTAACATATAATTTATAATTTTACATAATATATTTAATTTGCAATATTTATTTACATTGTAATTTAATAAAATATATATTTGCAAATTATTAAATATCTATTTTAATAAATAATTTTTAAAATGTTTCTTTTAATTTGTTATTATTTTTATCAATCTGACTCGATGGCAATTTGTAATTTAGAATTTATGCAGTGGTCTTGAAATATCGTAAATTACTTAAAAGAAAAAATAATTTAAAGACAAGTTTAGTATTTTAAAAAATATCGCTTATTTTTTTTTAATTAAAATATTTAGAAAATTACGATAAAAATGAAAAAATGTTTAAAACTGTCAACAAATATTTTGCATAAATTTAAAAATATTTGTGCAAAAACTTGTTCAAAAATTAATTAACAGCTTCATTAAAGCTATTTACAAAATTAGTCTGTCAATGCTAATAAAATTTATTTTTAAAAAATCAGTTATTTTATCATATAAATTTAAAAAAAATCAATAAAATAATCATTGTAAATTAAGATAAATAAATAAGTATATTTAATATTTCTTAATAAGAATATTTATTTTACATTTTTTTTTCTGTTTGCTTATTAAATTACGTATTTAATTTTTTTATTTTATTTTTTGTGAGTCTGGACTTGAAAACCTAGCCTAAGGCCACGCGTTCTTAGACATTTTGATAAGCAACTCACGTTGGAATTTAAATTTTCGCATTGATTAAAGCTTTCAATCACGGAACACCCAAAAATATCACACAAAAGTTTTTGCACGGATGGATGCGACAGTCAATTATTCACTCTCTTAATAAATCAATCTTTTAATTGAGATTAATGAAATATTTGAATCTGATATTTCTTTTTTCTATATATAAAACAATTTAAATTCTTGAAAAGAAAGAGTTTTATTAAAGTTATGAGGTCTCTCTACAACCTCATAGAAGAGATAAGTACAAGAATAATTATTATTTTATCTATTAAATATATTTATTGCTTTCGGTTATTTAACTCTTCTACGTTTTTGTGGATGTAAGTGCACTAATGTAAAATAATTTTAATAATAAAAAACTATTTTTAAGATATATTTTTGCATAAAATCTTTTATAATTTGCGTAAAGCAAAGAGTTGCAAATTCATTAACATCAACTGGAGATAAACTCTTGCAACTGAATGTAAGTTATTTTCCTCGCGTATCTGAGAGATATATTTATTGTTGTCAGTTATTTAATTCTTATGTTCGTCTATGGATGTAAATTCATAGACGAACATAAGAATATAAAACTATTTGTAAGATAAAGTTTTTTGTAATTTTTTACAAATTAAAGCAGTTAGAAGTATATTTTTATATTTGGAAGCTCAGAAAGGTATAAATACCATTAACTCGAGGTACTACTAACATGTACTTAACATCTCTTGTAGCTGTTGAATATAATTACTGTTATTAAGCACAGTACTTAACGTTCTGGATATAAATGGCGCTAATATAAAATGTTTTTAACACTAAAAACCAATTTAAAAATATTTTTGCTTAAATTCTTTTATAGTTTGCATGAAATAAAGAGTTAGACTCATATTTTTGTGAGTAAGAACAAATAGCATGAAGTGACGAGACGATGTCATGCAACTGACATATTCCATCAAAATGTGACCTTAAGTCGTGACTCATCTGTAAAAATGCAACATTTACCTGAAGTAATTCTGCATTAAAAAATGTAACCCGAGTTCATACTAAATATAATTTACTATATATATAATCTGATAACAGAAGAATGTTATTTTCTTACCGAAATAAAAGTAATAACCCTTTATTTTCGATATTATGTAAAGTTATGACATATTACCGAATACTTTAAATAATAACACTTTTAAATATAAATATTTAATTAAATTCTAGCCTTTTTATGATGTTTTATCGTATTGCAAATAAAAAAAAATTATTTTCAAATTTAGCTTAATTTTAGAATATTATTAAGCTCATTATAAGGATTTGCATCCTTACTGAAGTAAGCTACTACTGAAGAGTGTTCAGTGCTTATTTTATATTTTCTATTAATTATATTTTAAATATATTTTAAACTTATTTACTCTTTAATAAAAACTTTTTTAAAGTAAATATTAGTATTATCTGATAATTATCTAATTTTTCCCCCTTCAAAATCTCTGGAAGAAGTAGGGGTACGCTTTAAATTTGAATTAATACTGTATATAAAACTTTAAAATTAAAAGATATCTTTATAAAGTTTATTTTTATTCTATAAATCTCCACTTTTTAGAACTTTATATAATGAAAATTAAACATAGAATTTTTAAAAAATAAAAAAAATAGAGTACAGTATTGGTTCCAAGCAACAGCAATTTCTCAGCACTGAAAGATATATTTAATGAGTGGAATTTCTGAAATATTTTGGTTAGTTTATAAAATATTTGTGCACGATAGCGAATAAAAATAATTTTGATAGATAATTTCAAAAGAATTCGATAATAATAGCAACTCGTTCGTTAACCAAAGAATTGATAGAATGTACTGAAGCAGAAAATCTGCTAATGTCATTCATTACTCAAAATTGTGTTTATTAAATAATACTTATATACAACAATGGTTTAATGATTTTCTTAAAAAATTAAATTATTTATAGACGAATCAAACACGAATAATTTAAATGTTTATTATTCTTTTTTAGAAATTAATTCGAATATTTCGATATTTTAAATGATGCGAATACAACATTAGAGAAACCAAATAAAAATTTCTCTTATAATCAATTTTAAATTATAATTTGAATAAAATTTCGGAATCGTCCATTTACTGTTTCTTTTCTTCTTAATATAGACTTAACTGAGAAACGTTCGGGTTGGGCACTTCAAAATATATGAAGAGTCCAACCCGGACGACTAGCAATTATAAATGTTAAGTTAATTGTATACCTTCAAAGAAGACAGAATATCATTAGATCAGTAATAAAGAAATAGGAGATAAGTAAAAAGAGTAGGGTGGAGGCTGGGCCGAATTTACGCATAAACTAAACATGCTACAGGTTAGGGTCTCTCTTTTAAATTTATTTGATGGAGAGGAAAACCCTCCTATATGCTATAATTTAAGCTTCAATAAATTTAAAGCCGGTCTTGAATGAAGGTTAGTAAAGTCTTCTTTTTTTGGGGAATTTTTGTGGAAAAAAATAACTTTCTTAATAATTTAAATTACACATAAATATTCAAGTTTGAAAATAGCTGCATAATATGGGAGTAGACCTAATAATATCGTTGCGTACTTTATTTTATATTTTATTTTTTCGTATCACGTGATTTTATACTTGTTCAATGAAATACTAAAATGTCACTGTATAATGGAATGAATTGTTGAATTAAAATTAAAATACAGTAAACCAAACGATTTAAATTTGATTTTATAAAATTTTTAGTTTATTTCACAGTGTATATATATATTATTTATTTATTTAAAAATATAAAAGTGTAAATAAGCTTTTTGAAAATATTGAATAAATAATTTTTAATTAAATAAAGAATTTTCAATTAATTATATAATTTAATTTTAGAATAAAATATATTTTTGAAAAAAATTATTATTTTTGTCATTATCATAAAAAATAGAGAGATCAGAGATGGAACTTGCAGCTTTTTGTTGCTTCTAGTGCATTGCACTCTGATAAAATACAAAATACTGATCAAGTTTAATTTTGTGTGCAAATTATGATTTTGTATTCTTTATTCCAATACAAACATCCATCTAAATTTAGTATTTGCTCATTTTAAACATTGAATGTAAACACTTATGCAACTTACAATACAACATTCAGCCTTATGAGATCNACTTCTGAGTTATTGCTGACCGTCCATAACAAGCCGTCTTCAGTGCGCGAGCTGTGCATTCTCATAGGACCCCACACTTAGAGGAGCCGTGTGCTTAAATTTCTTGCTTTTTAATCATACAACTATCAATCAAATTATCTCTCCTTGATCTATTTATCAGCTTTCTCCTTTCTAATGATTATTTTTACAGATTACTTCTCTTGTATATCTTTCATAGTTTTGAATTTCTTGTTAACAAATTATGAAAAGAATTTTGTCTTTATTTAAATTTATTTTTTAACAGTCGAAGGTCTAGAAGAATATTGAAGAGGTACTAACTAGTTCCGAAGTATTCATAGTTAAGGTTGAATTTGACCTCTAAACCCTCACAAACAGAAACGTCACTGTATGATTTATACGAGGATATTTTAACTAAAAAAAGCTGTAAGTAAGATTTTTCTATTTTAGTTTATAAATCTGTATTATTTTTATATTATTATAACAAATAATATCAAATCAGTTAAGACAATAACTATGAAGTGACTCAGATAGAGGGACTATCGAGGCCATTTGACCCATAACTCGGACATAGAGGGGCCTCGAAATTAAATTTATTTGTATATTCATGCCATATATGTATATATTTAATCTTTAAAAAAGTAAATTTGCAAATGTTACGCTACAATTCTACTATAAATAGAATGTTACATTAGTATTGGTTAAATATTATAAATAAATTAAAATAGGAGTTTCTGTTAGATGAATTGACCTTCTCTGTATCTTTGTTATAGTGTAATTGACTTTAATTAATTTATATAAGCAATATTCAATTTTTAATTAAAAAATAATAACATTTTTCAATTTTTGCAGAGAGATTTATTCGTAATTTTAACGATTTGAGTTGTAAGAAATGAAAAAAATCGTTTTTATTTGGTTGTTATGTGTTATAGCATCGTCATCAAGATATCCAGGTAAGAAAAATAAAAGAAAATTTATCAGACTTTAAAATAGCTTTACATCTATTTTATTAATTGTAAAATAGATGTAAAGCTATTTTAAAGTCTGATAAATTTTCGAAAATGATAGAAATTGTTATAAATAAATAAATTTATTTTTTTTAATAAGGCATCGAAGATTTACGAGCGGAATCAGATTATCGTTCGATCAAACTAAAATGGCGATATCGTTCATTCAACGGGGTAGAAGGTTTTAAGGTCACGCTATGCGAAACTACTTCCTGGAAGGTCAAGTATCCGTGCAAACAACGTCATCTTCTCCTCAATGCACCGAGGAAGAATTCACACGATTTCGTTCGAAGATCGACCCTCAATGGAGGATTCGAAGCTTCTATTTACGAATTAAGAATGCTGACAAATTATAGTATATCCGTTCAACCTATTTTAACTTCTGGAAACAATGAAGAACTGGCGAAGAATCGTGCTCTCAATGTCGAATCTAATGTCATCACCATAAGCACTAAAGGATGTACGTTTAACGAGCTTTTTGTACCTTTATCTTTCATCTGTAGATTCTTATATATATATATATATATATTTTTAAAAAAAAACAGTTTCAGCTCGCACGACACGCTGTTTAGGAAATGTAACGGATATAGAAGTGACGACTGGTCCTTATTTTCCCGGCAAAATAGAAGTAGAAGATAAATTTGATAAGAGATGCGTGACGTATGGAGATAAAAGAAGCGGCAGAAGAGTTTATAAATTGACGATTATGCATGACGTCTGCGGAAGTAAAACTGTTGTAAGTTGTTTGAATGGAGTTACGAGGCATATAATTTATATTTTAAAATAATGATAACTTTAAAACTTCGAAATGCCCGAAAATAACAAAAAAAGGGTACCATTTTTTACACAAAACCTTGACTAACTTCTCTTTATCGGCACTGAAAAGTATGTAGAAATTAAGTCATGGTATGATGAAACTTTGACATTTCAGAATACTTACAATTTTCTGAAATGTAACTTAAAATTTCTAATTACGGAAAAATATATTAAAAATTTTGGCACTACAATCCAGGAAGTACTAAAATGTTCTGGAGCGTGAAAACTAAATAAGACCCGTGGTTTAGTGCATTTTTAATACGTAGTTTATTTGTAATTTTTAATACTGTTAAGGGTGATGATTCAGCTTTCAAAAATATAGTAATTTATTAAAAATTTGTTAATACTTGTTATAGAGGAAAAGCGAGGGGAGGGCAGAGAGAGAGGAGAGACTATGTGCTCAAGCGCTAAATGAGTAAGAGTGCTATGAACACTTCTAATACTGTATTTAATAAGTACTTTTTAAAAATTGTCAGACATTTAAACGTTACGCAGCTTATACTAATATTAATACTGACAATGTAAAAAAACTGCTGTTTTATTCATCATTAGTGTTACATGTTAAACATGCATAATTATGTAAATAATATATGCGTATAACCCGAGGCGCCGCAAACCACGACATACTTCTGAGTTATTGCTGACCGGCCATAACAAGCCGTCTTCAGTGCGCGAGCTGTGCATTCTCATAGGACCCCACACTTAGAGGAGCCGTGTGCTTAGTTAAAACTCGGCCTCCCCGTCTTGAAAAGGTCCCTTACTTATATATTACACTGGGTCCCTCAAAATATGAAGCTGATTCTGTTTTCTTGTTCTATTTCTCAAAATTTACTTACTTGTATGTGCTATATAAATTTAATTACTAATGAGTTAAATCCATAGAAGCAATACACTGGTGATCCAAAAGTCCACACACAGGCAAAGAGCCAGCTTTATTATTAATTATAACTCCAGGATATATGCGAGTACCATTTAATTGAATACATAGGCCTATATAAATGCATTATTCCCACTATACAAAGCAAGTTGACACGTCTTACGTGGGCACACAAGCCTACATCATAAACGTAGATGTCTCTTTTGTATGGAAGTTATTAAATCTGTAAATATTGCTCACCACTTGAAAGCGAGTTTATTAAACTTTAAAACAATTTAAATTTAAAGTATTTTGATGTAAACTATTTAAATCAAAATAAAATAAAAATTATGTTTTAGAAGATTACTTAGCGCAGCAGCCAAAAAGTTCCTATAAATTTGATCTTTCATCGAATAACAATTTGAGGAATGTTAGAAGAAACAAACAATGCAGTTTCATTTTATTAACGTTATGTTTCTCATTAATATAGTGTAATGTAATGTTTTTCTTATTAACATAAAAATAAATTTCACTAATTTTAATTGGTGAAATTTACTTGTATATTAATGGGAAAACGTTACTTAATGGAGGTTACATTATTTCAGTTCACTTATTCCTCGTAGGTTATACTCAGTCACACAGTAAATGTGTCATAGATCGATGTAGGGCTGACTGCATGATCCTAACAAGTGTAAGTCAAGCATTTAGAAAAAAATTAATGTTTATTTCGAGGAAATCTTACGAAAAGCACTAAACTTTCTTTGTTTTAAATAGCGTAAGATATGAACTTCTAACGTAAAATTCAATATAATGCATTATTATTGCAGTGTGGATTTTTAGCAAGTTTGGTAATCTGCAAAATTCTTTCACTTATTCAAATACAGGTTATACAAAAGAAAATATAATATAACATTATATATTATTGACGAAACTAAACGTATGTATCCAAGAATTCTGTTTAAGCTTTATTTTCGGAAATAAATATTTGCAAACTATATTAAGCTCTACAGAAAATTTGAAATAAAAAGAAATTAAACTAGATTATTTACGCTTATATACATTACTGTTAAGTATATTATAATATAGCCTATACATCTGCTTGTAGTTTTAGCATTGCTTGCCATGGTAAAATATCATTTTATTTCTCCTTTAAATATTGACCTTCGGGGAGTTTGTAGTTGTTATGTACAAATTTTGAATAACAAGTATGTCACATATAGTAAAAGTAAACTGGCTTAAAAAAATTGAAAACCACTACTGCAAAGGATACGTTAAAGAATTTGATTTAAATACATAGAATGTTTAATCCTAAGAATTCAAATGGAATTTAGAAATTTTTTCAGATATTCTTGCAAAAGCATTAACATTGTTAAAAAATAAACCATTTCAAAAATATTTAGTAATAAAATACCAGTTTTACTTGTCTTCTATGTACAAGATAAGTTTATTTCTGATTCCACAACACCCATAACGATATCTCAACTCATTATTTTAAACAAGATAGAAATATCTCTATTTTTAATCTTGTATTTTTTCCACCGAAAAATTGTAAATAAGTCATCAATCTAAGAGATAACGTTATATAAATGAGGTTTAAAAACACTTCTTACAACACTTCTTTAATGACTTTAAACCGTGTTAACTCGTTGCAATACTCTATTAATACAAGTATTTATTATTGTTGAATGATCTTTTAGTAATTACGCCTACAGTTCTAAACAGAAAATTATATTAATTTTTAATTCTAGAACGATTCAAGAATCCAAACGTCTATCGTAGTACACGAGAATCGAGAATTGGTGACGCATAGTTCTCGAAGGTTTTTAGTAGTATGCAATTTCTTACCAGGAACACTTACTATTCAAGCAGCGTAAGAAGCTCGTCACATATTTTAATATTAGATTTTTAAATTCTACTAGATACCATCTCATCTTTTATTCATTTTTCAGAGTTCAAGTCCCTCGCAATCATTCACTGTCCACCTTAAATTCAACAGGTGCAGAATCAAACTACGACAATGCAATTCAATCGGCATCTTCGAGCAATATAAGGGATGCTCGACTTTTAACTCAAGAGAGAACTGCTTCTCTTCATCAGCCAAAAATCCGCTCAGGTAATGTGACAATTACATTATATTATAGACGTCAAAAAGCATTATATTTATCGTTTAAAATGCAATAGAAAACAGAATTCTGGATCAAGCAGCAGTGCCAATTATTTTGACGATATCAGCTTTAATGGGAATTGTCATTTTTGCATGGAAACAATTTTATAAACAGAAGAAAAGTAACGAAGCCTCTTCGTCCATAACAGATCAACTAGAAACAGTCGACACGGAAAGCGATCATATTTCTTCAGATGATGCCAAAAAACAGGCAATTAATTAATATTTACATACTTCTTTGACTTGAAAAGGATTTAACTACTATTTGATGAAAATGTAAATATTCAACCTTTATCGTTTTATGGTAAATCCTTGAATTGGATCAGAGAGAACGAAGTGAATTTTTGCTACTGTTTCCTATACTTTGGTCGGTTTTAAATAAATATGGTTTTATATTTTCTGTGGTGAAAACGCAATAATAATTACAAAGCAAGCTTTACATTCGTTCCTTGCTAATAATTTTCTTTTGATCATCTTAGACAAGGTCGAAGCTTATAAACTAATACAGTGGTACCTCAGGATACGAAATTAATCCGTTCCGAAACTGAGATCGTATCATGAAAATGTCGTAAGGTGAATCATTTTTCCCCATACGATTACACGTAAAACCAAATGATTCGTTCCAACGCGAAAAACATACTCAAATTAAAGCCAAGTAATACATTAAAAAAATAACTGTAGTAAAAAAAAAAAAATGAAAAATGCGAACTAATGTAACGTCGTATGGTGAGTTTTTGTTCGTATCGTGGAGCAAAAATATGTTCGAATTTCATGTCGTATCCTGAAAATTTCGTATGCTGGGGCGTTCGTAACCTGAGGTACCACTGTACAGTACAGTAATTCTGAAACGAGGCGCCGAAAGAGATGGCTAAGTGTGCCGCAATTATAAAAGTATATTTTAAAAATGAGAAGAAAGGTATCTGTAGAAAGACTTATTCCATCCATTTGGTCCCTACAAGAACATTTATTATTGTATACAAAATGAGACACAAACTTTATAGACAGAGATCGAATTTAAACTTCCCTGAAACCATCATCTGATTGGTTAAGTCATCGTCATAAAATAAGTCTACTTTCCATTGCATCAATATCACAAATTTAGATTTTGTTCATGGAAATAAACTTGAACTTACACAACACAACAATGAAATGGATAACAAAAAATTTGATTCTAAAGTATAATAATATAAAATAAATCAGGCCATTTGAATATTTAATATCCCCGCTTTTACCGCTTGTGATTGGTATAAAGTCAGTGGGTGGGAAGTGGCATAGTGTATTTCTAATTAAATATAAATCATGAGAAACATTTTTTCCATGATTTATATTATTCAGGCTAATTCGAACAAAATTAAATGAACAATAAAACATCTAATCTGAGGTGATTGAAAAATACTATAGTTGAAAATTAATCATCTCACAACATTGAGATGTATGAAAAAAGTTAGAAAGCATTAATTAATTTAATAATAAATTGTTTAGTAAGTACTGTATATTAAAATATGCTGTAACTATTAAATAACATACTTAATTCCACAGTATTCAATATACTGTATTAATGTAATAAAGTATTATTTCATAATTTATGTAATTCTATTGGATTGTTTTACAAATATAAGTCAAATGAAGGGGGAAAACGTGTATGATCAAAATACTAATATTTTCCATTCTTTCAAATCATCATCATTATATACAAGGGCGTACCCAGCGAGGGGTAGCTGCCCTTCCCTAGAAGAAAAATTAAAGTGTAGTGATTGACACACAGAACAGACGTATCAATTTAGTATCAGTTTGAATAATGAATATTGTGACTAGACTAGAGTCATCTGTCGTGAAATCTCTCCCCCCTCCCCACTTCCTCGAAACTAATGAGTTGCCCCCCTCTAGTTCAGACCCTGGATACTCCGCTGATTATATATATCAGTAGCTTTTTTTACTTAAAACTATTTCATATTGTTACCACTAACAAAAAATATATAAATCCTTTATTTTACAACAGAATTTAACTTTTATCATGTCAAAGCAAAGATAATTAGGTATAACATTATATCTTTTGAGAAATTTTACTTTCCAGGCTGTTAAAACACACGGGAACGTATTGAATATTATAATTGTGTCAGATTTGACCCTCTTGGTTTTGAAAATCTTGACATTTTGAGACCCCTAAACTCAAAGTAGAAAAGGGAAACCCCATGGACGTGTGTTGGAGTCTATTTCGTTTAATTAATATATAGTATCAGGTCATTGATGCTATTACATTTTGGTGATTAAAGGTTGAGGGGCCATGTGTCATATCTCGATTGGGGTCGCACTGAAATCTCATTTCTACCCTCAAAATTACTCTTTTGACCTTTTGTTATTACTTAAAATTTTATATCCTAATATAATTATCAGAATTCCTAGGAAATGGTCTCCTTAGCCTCTTATTCGAGCAAGAGCCCTTGCCAGCGTTTTTAGAATAGTTACACGTTTGTTGGAAAAACATGCATTGAAAGCTTTAAAATGTATTAAATCAAATCCCTTAAAGAATTCTGTTCTTAAGATTTTTTTAAATATTAGATTAGAAACAATGAAAAATTTTTCTGTAATTTTATAATATAGAAGAATGATTGTTAGTTTTTATTTGTATGCAAAACGCGACACGTGGGTGCTTTCCATGGAAAGTGGCCCCTTTTTAGATATTATAAACGTGAAAAAACCCGGAAAATTCCATGTTGGCGAGGCCCGAACTCACGACTACCCGTGTATGAATATTAATCTGTTGATTACGCATTTCCTAGACAATTTTTGTAGGAGCAGGTAAGACAAACTTGTTAAAAATTACAAAGAACTTGAAGTGTCTATGAAATACTTTATATAATAAAATTTAATACAATGTTCCAAAAGTGAATCAAATTCTTTCAAGTTCTAAAAATATATCTCGGTTGAGTTTTTGAGTTTTGAGCCATGTATACACGTAAAAAAACACGTAATACACGGATGAAAAAGGCAGTATTTTTTAAAATTCATTTTTAATATACATTAGTATTATTTAAGAACCAAAAAAAAAATCGAAAAGTTAGAGGCATTTCTAATGTTAAAACTTTATTTAAATTTATTTAAAACTTTCTATATAAAAAATCATGTGAAGAAAGCTATCATTAAAATAATATGGCTTAATTTAATTGTTGTTAATAACTGTTTTGCTTTATAAGCAATAATTTTAAGTTTTGTCTTATATTTGTTCAATGCTGTGAAGTATATAATAAAGAAACACAAGAAACAAATTTATCTTTTGAGAAACATTTTTAATAGGCAATAATAAGCTGTTTTCCTTTGACATGAAATATTCAGTGTAAACAGAATTATGCCATACTAAATGATATTTTACACAATTGTACAATTCTGACCTCTAGAATGAATCTCATGCAAAATAAAAATCTCAAATTGATAGTAGTATATTATCAAACATTGTTTTGACTATACAAACAATTTTCTACATGCAATGATTTAGAACTTCACATTTGAACTTTATTAGGAATGATTTTATTGTATAAACTGTATATATATAGATCAAATTAAAATAATAATAATAACAACAACAAAATGAATAACTAATGAATAGTGAAACTGCTGTCAGAAAATACAGGTTTAAAGTATTGTAATTTTAGCAACACATTTTTCTCCTACCAAACTTGCTCTGAAGTGGAGGGAATGTTTGTCTACTTAAACATGGTCCACATAAACAAACCTGAGACTTGTGTAGCTAACTTGGATGATAATGGAAGTTTTATCTGGAGTTTAAACACAAAATATAATCCAAAATATCTTTTTTTCTTTGACACTATATTACAAGTCATTTTTACATACAAAAATGAAACCTTATTAAATCTTATTTCATAAGACAGATGATTAGTCAGCCTTTTATAACTGATTAGACTATTCAATCTACAGTAAAAAAACAATTTTACAATAATATCAATGCTTTATAACAATATTAAAATATATTATGCATTTGTTGTATAATATTTGTTATTTTCAATAATCAAATTTTAAATGCTATCTTTAAAACAATCTAAATTTTTTGAAGTTAACAATAAAACTTTAAAAGTAAAGTTTATGATATGTAGCACATGCAGTTATTCTTCCATTTGAAATTTATTTTAAAAATTGCCAAAAATATTTTCTTTTAAAAACAAAACTATAGTTTGCCTTTTAGGCTAAAGAAAATTCAAACTAATGAAATCTCTATAAAACAATGCTACATATCTAAACTTTTACATCATATTATGGAATGGTTTACATCATATATTTAAAACAAATTATTATTTTTTAATACACAGTATAAAAAGATATACTTAAAATGTATTCAATTATAATAGAACAAATATTTAAAATAACAACACACCAAAAAATATATTGAAAATAAAATAGCTAAACTCCAGTCAGATATATTTAAAATATAATCTAATCTTGAGATTACATTCATAAAAAATTTACATTCCTCTTTTTAATGAATTAATGAATGAATAATTTCCATAATGGTTAAATCATTCATTTATTAAAATATAGTAATTTCATATGAAGTAGAAAAAACAAAATAAATACTGTTCTTTGATTAAAATATCATTATAGTTATTTTGGGATTTTCAATATATTTTAATTACATAGTTTTTAGTTAAAACTCCAATAAAACTTCCATTTCCAATAATGAATTTGAGCTTGAATCAGTCCAATAAAGTTAGAGGTAGCCAATTTATGTTAGTATTTCACTGTGACCTATTAAACATAGATCTAATGAAAGATGAATTGAAGTACATGATGTCATTGTAGACGTAAAAAAACAACCAATGGTTTAAACATCATGGACAGATTTTTCTTCAACAGCAAGTGATAAAATACTTTGTGTACTTATTTCCATCAGGTAACATCATTGTATATATAACAAGATCAATTATGAAATTCACAAAACATCTAAAATTTTAACTAAATGTTTTTGTTGTTTGTTTAAAGGCACAAATATAAATATTCTAAGTAAATCTCTGCACCATGATACTGTTCAAGCATGGACAATTTATATGTGGAATTGTACATTTAATACAAATTGTCAAATTACAGTACCTATTGCTGAATTTTGGACAGCATTTTGTTATCAAAGTTAATTCACTAATTCAGAATATTTCTATACCAAGCAGAATATTGTCCTGACATCTAAACAGTACATGATTTCAGGCAAAGTTTCAAGGCTATGAAGAGGTCATCTGATTCAATAAAATATGACAGCAATCTAAATTCTGTTACAGCCAAGTAATACATCATAGCATTACAACAGATTTATACGACTGGAAACAGAAAACAGTAAAAAAACAGAAACATTGTAATCATTTCTATAAAGAATTATATTTAAGAGAGAACAAATGAAATCTCAAAAGAACTTAATTTTATACAATTAAATATGTTGATTTTAATCTCTTAAGTCTATAATAGATACAATAATACTTTATTCCAAGTTACTAGTTATGAGATATTTAATCAGGATAATTCCTGCTAAGTAGTGCTGAAAAAAAAATTACGCACTACAAGGTCAGATAGTAATTTTTATACATATATGTACATACACGCAAACGCATATTCACACATATCAAAATGAATAATTTGTTACATTAATAGATGACCAATTCTAAATACTTTGAGCTAATAGCTATCAATGGATAAATATATTTAAATGACAATGATAATACAATTATGCTTTTCCACTGTGATATCTAGCCAATGTGAAACTGTTAAAATATGGAAGTACTTAGATTATCATGCTAGTAAATATGGACACGTTTAATCCAAATGTCAATTTAATGACATTCTATTGACTGTACTATCAAAAAGATTAACTGGAAGGATAAAGTGAATTGTAATCATGAACTCTAAGGAACATTTTCAGACTGTCAGGTATGAAGTGTTATATCTGCACAAAAACAGATCTTGCATTACTGAAGTAATGTTAAAGGCACAGAGTAGGTTAAAAATGGAAACAAACACAAACAAAATTGTTCTTTTAGAAGAACATTATATATAGTCTGTTCGTTCAAAAACTCTATCTGAAAGTGAACTCAAATATTATACTGTATATATGGATTATTATTTCTGATTTTAACATAGTTTGTGAAGTTTTAAAGTATGCCGATGTTAAAAATTCTCTATGCCAGAAGTTATAATCAATGAATTTTTTTACATTTTTGTGACAAATAATAATTAAATTTAAACACATATACAATGTTGTAATTTAAATTTTCCATGTGCATGCAGGTCAAGCAATTTGAAAAAACATTGGTTGATATTTGGGTTCTTTTTCTTTAATTCAAATGTTTTGTTCTCTAAGAATGATTCTGCCTAAAGAGGATAGTTATACACTGTCGCAAGTACACACAAAATGAATTATTTTTACGTAGCATCAACATATAGTGGTGTACATTATCTTTTTCTGGTTGTTAAATGTTAAAGAGAACATTCTTCCAAATAAAATAAAACAAAAAGATTGTCATCTGCCCAATTTAAAAGTGGGATGGAAGCTTTTGTTTACAGGGTTAACAAACACTTTGCTGTTTGTTCACAATTAGAATGGGAGTGAGCACCGGTTTGACTGATGATTTCCCTTTAAAGTAATAGTTTTCCTATCTGACCTTGAAAGACAACACTTCTGTCTCCAATTACAAATAAACACAATGTTAATCTATGAAATCTAAGATAATTTACAGCAAAGTGAAATTTAATGTTTATCTGATCAAATTTCAATAAAATAAACAAAATATGCATTTTCATCAATTCACGTATTTTACACCATTAGAAAGAAGTCAAAATATGGAAATAAAAGATAATTGTAGGAATGCCAATAATTTCACAATTTTGGAATAAAGAATGGAATCAGAGATGCCATGCATACAATACTACTAAGTTAGTCAGCCTCATGTGATATGCAGAGTTAATTAACATTGAGTTTCCTTGCCCCTCAGTTTTCTGGTATTATAAATGATGCTCAAAGTCATCTTTATTTTCCTAATGCATGTATAAATTCTATGTCAAAATGTATGTTTTTGAGTTCAAACACCAATGAGCAACTGGGATAACATAATATAGCAATAAACACATCCACCAATAGTCTAAATTATTTCACATCGAATGTTACTGGAAATAATTGAGTCTCCTTAGTGAATGTGTTTTTGCTATGTCTGATTTTAGTATCACATCTCATGGTATGTTTGTAGTTTGTACTGTACAAGCTGATTGAATTCTCTCAATTGTATCTTCTCTAGTTGTTGGTTCTCTAAATATCCCCACAAATAAAATCAGGCATCACAAATGATCATGAGGACCATTGTACTGGTTCATATAATTCTTTCTTTTTCAATGAACTTCACAAACATTAACAGATGCATGCATGCAGTGTAGCAAACACACAAAAGTTTAAATGTTAACCACTAATAAGTGCTGATTTCAGAAAAATGTTCAGATAAAAGTTTTTTTTATGTAGAATTATAATATGCAATAAAAAATGGAAATTCTCATTTAAGAAAATGAAGATGATCTATTTTTTCACTAATTGTATTGCCATCTATGATGAAACAGTGTAATCTTCAAGAAAACCAACATCTAATATCTTTGGTTTAATGAAGTTTTTTGTAGGATATGCATTTTTTGAATTATTCCAGTGGCTTGATTAAAATGAACCACCCTGTATATAAGTAGTCTGAGTAGATCTAAGCAAGAATATGACAATGAAAAGTCATATTCAGATTTGACATCACAATCCTGAGTGTGCGATTCTATTAATTTATGTATACATAATATTGGGTTGTTCCAAAAATAATCTCATTTTTCACACAAAAAACCAATTTTCTTATATAAATATTTTATTGAATTATATATTGACCATTTTGGTCCAATACCTTTTGCCATCTTTCTGNCTTAGCACCATTATCATTTCTCATTTTATAAAAGTGCATAGTAGTTGCCCTAATTATTATTTATTTTTAATTTTTTTTCCTTGACTATACATGTGAAACATTGAGCAGTAACACTATTCAGATTGTTGAGTAAGCCATTCTAAAAGTTTCTAAAGGAAAAGCAAAATAGCTGCTCTTTCTACTTATAAATATCATCCAGATAACTGTCCTTTACAAAGGAATAAATATATTTAAGTATTTTTAAATCTGTAGAATGATTTAAACATACTGTACTTTTTTAAAGTAAAGCATAACAATCAAAATATACAAAAAAAGTAAACCCTTTAAGCACAAATTAAAACTAAAATGCTAGATTATATTGAAAGATTACAGATTTTTATATGATATATAAGTATTTTTTCATTTTTCATAAAAGTGGCAGCATTTATTGATGTGACATGATTAGAATCATTTATTTAATATAAAAAATATTGTCATTTAAAAATTGAATTTTATGTGCTAAAAGGGTTTAATAAACTTATATTACTATGGAATCATTTATAACAAAAAAAACATGTAAAGGAATTTTAACATTAATAACTTTGGAATTTATAACTTTGTTAAAGGTTTAAAATTCAAAAATAAAATGTAGGATGATATTTTCAGCATCTGTTGTACTCACTATATCATTTTTTCAGTTTACTCATAAATACAGGATTATTTATTTCTGCCATCAGGAGAAGCTTTCCTTATGCTTTAAGATAGTTTCAAAAATGGCACTGCATTGAGCACCAATAGTCTTTGTAGATGTCATTAGTTCTATGTACAGTACATTATGAAATAAACATTCCATGCAATTCAAGCTTTTTTGTTTTTGTTTTTTTTGGAAGTCCAATCCAAATTTGCAGTTTGCAATCTTTTATCATCATTTTTACACCCATTATTATAAAACTCTCCATTCAATGATGGAAAGTTACAATATACTATTAACATGCCTTTGAATTGATTAATGAGGCACATAGTCATATTTTCAGATCTTCTTGTACACCAAAGTTAGCAATGGTTTTTTTCACACGAAGGGCAGTTAATCTTGAAGCAGCATTATGATACCAGCATTCTTTCATAATTTTTGACATTACTCTAAGGGCCTTGAAATAAAAATACAAAATAAATATTAATAATGGTGTTGAATTTATCTATACATTTGTTATTTTAATGGAATATTCAATAAAATAAAAAAAGCATAAAGAGAATAATACATACAGTATTAATTACATTATAAATTGTAATAATGATTATAATTATAAGATTTCTGTTTCCTATATCCTATTATTTTTAACTTTTTGTACCCTTTTCTTGTTACCACAAAAAGTGTCAAAACATTGCATTGTTGGTCAGCAATATATCCCAAAAGTCTCCATACAGTGACACAAATGAAGTCCACCAGTGGCTGAATAAATAAAACCATTGAATACTGATAGTTGGTCATTGGTTCATGCCTGACCAATGGGCTGGCCACCGTGCAGTGTTCTGGGCTTTCTTTGTATGTCTAGCACCGAAACAGAATCCAGTTTCCACATAGAAAGTCCTGCTAGAAGTTACCCCATTGGCAGATCACACGTGTTCCATTACCTTAATCTACTGACACAAATCTTAATTAATTAATGCTGACATTTTAATGTTTTGTGAATAAAGTTACATTTCACCACGGTATTTATGGAAACTTTTGGGACACTCTGTATAATTATAAATTTTCATATTTTAAGAAAATTAAATAAGCTAAAATAACTCCTAAAATTATAAAGGAAAAGATTAACTCAATTATTTTTTATTTTTTTAAATTACAATTATTTACTGAAAAATCTTAAAGTTATTGAATAATATATATTCCCGTTTTCTTATTTTCACTTAAAATTATCATCATCATTATTAGTACTGTAATTGGTATACTGTCTTTTTCATAATACAATATATAATCAAACAATTTAAAAAATATATTTATTTAATTTCATTAATAATGGTAAATATATAATTTCATAAAGATCATAAAAATTTTAATTATTATCTAGTAGAGACTTATAAACTTAACATTCCGTAAAATTCATTATGTCATTAAAAAAAAACAAACACTAATGTAACACTTGAATTACTCTCCTGGCAACACTTGATAATAGCATCAATTCTGTGTGTTAACAAATAATTCTTTTCCCAAAGTGCCACTACAAAATGCCACAGCACAAATGTCACTAACTCAAAAGTAGCCATTAAATAATCAATTTTTTTTAAATCAAAATTTAAATAGAAACAGAAATAGTCATTATTTGTACATAGTTAATACATACAGTACATGAATTTTCACATATAATACATTGTAATAAACATGTAATAATAAGACATTGGCAAGAGGTAATTTTTTTATCTTTTATAGTATAGTAATTATTTCATATTAGATTGTACAGTTGATTTTCTTTCACTCTGAATGTGTTAAAAGATTTTTAATAGATTAATTTGCAGAAATGTATTATGAGTTGTGAATAATGTGGCCCAGAGTCTGTAAAACTCGCCACTTTCTTAGTCCACATTAAGTTGACTCTACTGTAATAAAATAAGTGCCATAAATTGAATAAAGCTATATTTTGACAAAAATGCATTCCACTATTGCTTATTAAAACATGTTACTTAAGTGTATTTTGTTTGTTTATTAATGAGACAAACAAATAAAATTTCTGTATTTCTTCATATACATGAGGCATACTTTCTTAAGACACAAAGACTTTCTTAACAACTCTTGTATAAATAATATTTTCCTTTAAAAAATATTTCAATTAATACAAAAATTAATTAAAATGGCCATGGAATATTTTTGTGATTTGTTCTGCCACCTGGGAATTGTATTTTAATGTTTTTTACATAACAAGACAGATGAGACACTTCAAAAAAAAGGCAACTCAGCCCGTAAAGATTTTTTATTCCTGAGGTTGTAAGAAAGGACAAGATGTGAAGACTTTTATTGTTGCTTCTATACTGTGAATATTTATATATATATTTATAGTCCTTGGCCATTTTAATTAATTTTTGTATTAATTGAAATATTTTTTAAAACTACGAGTTATGAGCAGAACACTCAAAATCTGTGAAGCTTACTTGTGTCTGAGATGCTGTCTGAAATATTTTTATCAATAAAATATTTCATACTGCATAATAAAATATACAAAATCAATAGAATAGTGTAATACATGCTTGTAAAACAACAACATAAGTAAAGTGGGATAAGAAAAAGATAGGGGTCTGTATGTTCTGTTTATTCCTGCATAAGTTACTACATTAGCTGGCTCATATTACACATTAGTCTAAGTATATTCTTTGTGAAAAATTGAGTAAAAACAATTCTATGTTTTCATTATTTATTCCCTTGTTTATCTATTATGCTATGACCAAATTTACAGATTGGAAACACGTGTTATAACAAAAGAGAGTATATGTATATTTATCTATCCAATTACAATATTTTTAATGATTTTCAAAATTATAAAGAATCATTTATGCTTGAGAAAAATACATTGATGATTTTTTTTAAATAAATGCAAATAATTGTAATACTACATTGTAGTTTTTATCATTACAATGTAACCTTTTCAATTAATTAAAAAATTTTTTTTAGAATAAAACTGAATTATTAAGATTAATAAAACAAATCACAACTAATGCTATACAATTTTTTCATTTTTTTTTAAAGAAAGGAACTGTAGTTTTTTATTTTTTTAAATTATATATAGACAAACATTAAAAGGTGTTAAAAAGTTTTAAGTTCTTAAATACTTAATTAATAATTATTAATTTTTAAATGAATTATTCAGGCCTCTAGTTTTTGTAATATGCTTTATTATGAATTAGATAAAGATAAAACCAATAAATTGCCTTATTTAAATTGTGTAATGAAACTTCAATTCTACAGAACACTGTTCTTGGTGGGAAGAGCCAAGATCATGTTAGATCACACAAGGTCACTCATACAACTCATTGCACCATCTGTCTGTAATTATGTGCTGACATTGTATGAATTTCTGAGTCTCAACATTAATTTACCCATTTATTAATAATAATTTAATGTGTAATTTTACTATTAATTATTTAATAGTAATCTAATTAAATAATTAGAGATTAAGAAAATAGTAACAAATATATAAATGCTTAAATATTTTAATTTAAAAAGTTTTGATGGTTTTTTTTCTATTTTCAAATTGAATTTTAGATTCAAATTGTTGGAAATCGGTGCTAACTTGTGAGCCAAATCCATGTGCTAATAATCAGCAATGTATATTGAAAAATGGTGTTTTTCAATGTCATTGTTCTGCTGGATTAGAAGGAAATCTTTGTCAATATGGTATTGTAAACATTAANCACAACTGACATCTGGGGACAAACTAGACAATGCACTCATTCCTCCGATACCAGCAGCACACTGCTACTATCGATAGTTTAATAAATATATCAGTTTGAAATACGTATATTCTTTTTGGTCCACCCTGTATATTCTATCCTATAATGGTGGCATGTACTTAAAGGCAACCAAAGGCTTTTCAATTTTATAAATAACATTTTTAATTGAATGTCACCAATGTAAAAATTACAATGCAACAATATTAATCAAATCTGTATAAACTGAAAATGAACTTTTAAAATGATTTGTTTTTATAGAATAATAATTCATATAGAAGAGATTTTACACGCAGATAATTTTATAATTTAGAGAAAAATTATTATAAACCAAGAGACAATCAAATTTTACTTTAATATATATCCTTATGAAAGAAAACAGTTACATGTTATTACTAATCAAATGAAATTATTTTATTAAATAGTAATTACCATTAAATAAATAAAATAAAATATCTAAATTGTTTAAATTAAGGTAATAAATATATGTCCACCCTATGCAGTTTTCATAAACAGTAAAAATAATTGAATTGTTTTTAATTTGTAAAGAAACCTTTTACTAAATGGAATATGCCAATTGAGTTATGTTCTATAACAAAAATCAATACATATTCTTGGTGCATGCCTGGAAACATCATTCCACTCAAAACATGAAGGCAATAATTTATATACATCCTGAATTTGCAAATAATCACTATTTTCTGAATCTCCTTTTGCAGCATACTTATCAGTTACTCATTTAGACATTGATATAACACAGACACAACAAAGGTTTTGTGAAATATTGGCTCATGCATCTTGAAGTACTGTCTTCAGCCGATCATTTGCTTGGGGTTTGTATTTTCACATCTCTTTTCTTGAGGACATGCCATAGGTCATTGATTGGGTTCAGATATGAGAAATTTGGGACCCATTCCACCTGATTTTGTGAAAGCCAAGTAGTAGTAGGGCAAGCAGCACACAAGTTGTGAGATCTTGTTGGAAGAGCACATCTCTCTGAGGATGTAAACAGGTAAACAATACTAATGAAGAATTACCTGTAGTGTTATGCATTAATAGAATTAAAATCAGCAATGCCAGAATATTCAAAACATTCCCACATTTGCATCATGGCTGGAACCTTGACTTCTTGTTTTCATAGTTTTAAACAAGTCTTTCATTGGACTGTCTGATATACAATAGCAAATATTTTTGTATAGTATTAGGAAGGACAACTCATCATACCAAATTACAGTAATACCTCGACTTACGCGAACCCAGAGTTACGCGATTTTCAAATCTCATCGATTCGTCTTTTGTTTGAGTGCCATGCAACCCTTGATTACTCACTCCCCCACACTATTGTTCAGCTTATATGTTTGGACATGTTGCACGGAATTGACGCATAGCTACAATTTATTTTGTGTTATTTATTTCTGTGTTTGTTATATCTACGGAGACTCAAGAGACTCTATGTGTGATTTCTTGTAACCATGGACGAATCAAAAGACAAGATAAGATTATTTAAGAGAAATTAAGAGAACATTTATTAGCTCACATACACCCGACTTGGATTTTACACAAATTGTGAAATTATATCACAACTTACGGTTATCGCTCGGTCCAACCTATCGCGTCAGTTCGGGGTATTACTGTACTTGTTACTATTTAGTTTCTGTACTTGCAGGTGGTCCCTGGCCATAAAAATGTTTCGTATGCTGAAATGACATTAATATGAATTTCAGATTATTCTTGTTTGAGCCATAGCTTGTGTCATGTAGTCTGTTGCTAGCAGTTTGTTGAGTTACAGGATTGTCTATGCATACACTCCAGAATTCTGTTGCTGCCATGTATATACCAGCTCAGTATTTCATGACATGATGATACAAAATTTTATCTCTCCTGGCAGTAGTTGTTGGCAGTCTACTGGTGTTGTGTCCAGTTGCTGTAGAATAGTTTTCTTGTAGTATCTAAAGAATGTTCTGACAGCAGATTTGTTTGAACACAAAAGTCCATAGAAATCTGCTACACAGTCATTGCAATTTTTCTGGAGGATCTGCTCATGTATCAGAAGTCCTAACTTACTTACTTCTTGTTGTTTGAGTTTTGAAAAACAGAGACAGCATGAGATTTTATACTGCCATTCATATGCACATGAGTAATCATACAGTACATAGTATAAAGCAGTGAAAATTTATGCATGTGTAGCCGAGTGACAGCTAAGAGTGTGTGTAAATTTATTGCCTTCACATTTTGAGTAGAATGATGTTTCCGTATATATTGAGATGTTTATTAGTGTAGATCCTAATTACTAATTTAGTTGTTGAGCATAGCTTAAGTGGCATACTTTGTTTAGTAAAAAGTTTTCTTACAAATTATAAATGATTCTGCTTTTCTTACCCCATTATTTTGTGTGTGTGTGTCAGTGGCGTACCGTGGGTGTCAGCCGCCCAGGGCGAAGGGAAATTTCGCTCCCCCTTATTTAGGTATTTCAATTTAAAAGACCAAAATTCAGTTTTGTCACAGAACAAGCAACGAAAAATTCAGTGGTAGTGCAGCGACTGTTTAAAATAGTTCTATTGGATATTAGTGGTGTATATGAATGTGAATGAATCGTACAAGTAAGAAAAAAAAAGATCAACAGGTTTCACAGGAATTCCTCGAATGAAAAAGTTCACCCGGCGAGCTGATTCACTACACGATACTATCAATACTTTGCCGGACGATAGCACTATCGTAGGCGCGATGCAAGTATAGATTAGGATGTTTCAAATGTTTTCAAGATATTATTATTATTTATTGTGAAATTTTGCCGCCCGGGGCGGGCTGCCCCCACTACGGTACGCCACTGGTGTGTGTGTGTACATTACTCTACCATGAATAAGATATTTAATTTTAATTTTCAAAAATTATACATAGAGAAGTTTCTTAATTACATATATATAGTATATAATTTTTTATTATATTAATATNTTTTGTTTGTAAAAAATAAAGAAATTAATATATAATGAATACAAATATCTTAGAATATTAATTTTTGCTTTTAATTTTCAAATTAAAAATATATTACATCTATATAAAATCTTACATGATAAAAATAAAATTTATTTTTTTAAAGAAGAAATTATGCATCAAAATTTAAATTAGGATAATAAATTTTTATTATGAATTCAAACAACTTATTAAAATGTTATTTATTGAAATTGATATTACTATTTATTGTAATTAAAAACTGGATTTGTTGCATAATCATAATTCATATTTTATTTCTTTAAAAATTTAAAATGAAAAATAATAAATTTATCTTAGTATACCTCATATGATTGCCATCTGTTTGGTATAGGTGGTCTTTGCCTATCAACACATACCACTTTTTTCATCTCTTCTATACTGGGATCAGAAGGCACCATGTCATAGTAAGGAAGTTGATAATCTTCAAAAATTCCTAAATTTTAAAATTTAATAAGATTTAAGTTCAATGACACAGTACATTCAAAGTTGTACAGAATTATAATAATTACAATAGAACCCTGTTATAACAATCAGTAAATGAGTGTAATGTAAATAAAACTTCAAATTTAGATAATTATACATAAAAATTTTAAAGTTTAATTGAAAGAAAAGAAGAAAAACCCTGATTAACTAACATACTGCATTATCTAAGATGAACCCATACATGAATATACTACTTTTCTTATCCTGTTAATTCTTTAAAAAGTTTAAAATGATAATATGTATTACAAAATTATTTATTTCTGTTATCTTTTATTATTTAACTTCAATGTCAGACAAATTATTCATATTAAACTGTAAGTACAATAATACATATTTTCGTTCTTGAAACTATCGTATGCATTACATATATAATAATTAATGTAAAAATGTTATTCTTATATATAATTAAATTTGCTAAGATATAAAAACAGACTTAAAGTGATGTGCCATATAAATCTTTTACATTTGTAATTTTTAATCCAAAACAGTAGTAGCCACTCATTTTATCCAAGTCTTCAGTTATCTGAGGTAGCATCAATCTACATTACATCAGATAATTGGGGTTCTACTGTATTTCTTAAAACTAAATAACTTTACTCTTCCCTATAACTTCTCAAAATAATTCCTTCCCTTTCCAAGCCTTTCTATTCTTGCATATAATTGTTTCAGCATGAAATTATTGTTTACAAAATAAACTTATTCCAGAGAATTTCTTTTGAAAATATCTATTATGTAATACAGCACCATACTTTGTTAGTATTCCCTTTTTAGTAATATTTCAAAATTATACTAGTAACAAAGCTAGACATTCAATTCAATATTTCTTTCATAAAACTATTATTAAAAAAATCATTATCTGAACAACAAAATAATGTCTGTAATGTTTATATAACTATTGCAGTATAAAATATTTTCAGAATATCATTTAGTATATGAAAGAACTTTTGATATATCATCACAAATTACCAGCTCCATTATCATATTTCAATTGTTATTAATTAAATGCAGATTAAAACCATTTAAAATTAATGTGGATAGTAGTCTATATCTGAAAAGAGGAATCAGACAACCAGTTCTTCACATGTATTACTTTTATCTTTATTTAAGAGATCCATGAGTAAAAAAAAGGTTGAGAACCACAGGTCTAAACTCTATATGACTGCATTGAGTTGCATTGCAAAATAATTTTCAGTATCAGAAAATTATGTTGAGAAAATCTCTATTTGCTATGGTTATAATCAATTTAAGAAATATGAAATAAAAATGCAGTCATATAGTTTAGACCTGTGGTTCTCAACCTTTTTTTACCCATGGATCCCTTTTCCAATTAATTTTTTTTGTGGACTCCCATAGACATTGCACAGAAAAAGAAAAATCTTATATTTTTCACTAATAAAAATGGAAAGGAAAACATTCAGAAATGTTTTCCTTGAACTGTCAAGTGACATGACGTTGATGGTATAAGATTCTTCTAACAAATCCCAACTTTATAATCTCTCTTTGACCTTTGTCAATGAGATATATATATGTCGTAGACGTATTCAATATTTTAAATAATTTATATTTTAACCTTTATACAAGAAATGAGTAATAAAGAAATTGACAATATACAAAGGGTATTTTTTAAATAAGGTCTGATTTTTAATACGAAGAAAAATACTGTAAATATCATTAAAATATATTTTTTCCCATATTCTACATACTTTTATCTACTTTTCTACATAATTTCCATTTTTGTTCAAACATTTGTCATACTGCTCAGCAATTTTTTAAATTTCAACTTCAAAGAAATTTGCTGCCGGAAGACAGTAGGCCATGACACTTGGTTTGTATGGCATGCTAGAGTTCTCTCAAGGTCACACAATACACATCAGAATTGATTGTCGTCTCTCTTGGCATAAAATCCCTTTCCTGTCCCAAAAGACAGTTGCCATGATTTTTCATGCTTAAAATCGAATAACAGATTGTATCTCACAGTTGGCAGGCGACTCAATTTTCTTAAACATTATGAACTTCTACAGCTCAGCACACAAACAGACAATAAGGATGCAAATGGCATCTAAACATGCACAAAGCATGCTGGGAGCAGATGCTCATGCACACTGCTGTGATTGCATGTCATTCTCACTCTCATTCACAAATGGACCTTATTTAAAAAATAGCTCATGTATATACTGTAGAAATTTAATTCTCAGTAAAACAATTGTTCAGAAGTAGAATTACCCTATAGACCATTAAAATATCACTATGAATCCCCAATTCAGTATTTTTTTTATGTGGGCCCCAGTAATGTTACACAGACCCCTAGAATTGATGTGGACTGGTTGAGAACCATTGGTTTAGTTTAACAAAAGAGTGCATTAGATGACTGGAAATGGAAAATGATTGGATATGAGCAAATAGGTAAAATTCTTTAATTGATTAAATGAATGTAAGAGGAGATAGTCACTGATTATGAGTGTCCATGTTCATAAATTTTGGATTTTCATCATTTTTCTTGTTTTTAATAGTGTTTCAAATGCAATAGCATTGTTTCAAAGTAACTCTGTGGAGTAGTGCTAAATGCACATACACAAACACATGCGTACACAATTTTTTAAAAGTACAGTAGAGCATCATTTATCCAAAAGCCGGTTATCCAAAATGTCAGTTAACCAAAAGCATTCCAGTCGGCAAATTTAAATTTTCACTAGTGCTGTGGTGCTGCAATCTTTGGTTATATCTTGGGCTCCTCCAATATTTTTTTTTGTTGGTGTGTGTGTTTTAGCTGGCAGCATTGGCACTTTTGTGTGGTGTTTTTCTGAGGACTGTGTGTCATGCTGAATCGAACGTTTTTGATACTAGATTAACTTCTAAACTATAATTGTTTTTGTTTTTATATTTTTCAATATATTTATTTTGTTTGTAAAAAATAAAGAAATAATTTTTATGATACAATAGCCACGATTATTATTTTAAAATGTTTATGTTACGCTTAACATGGACAAAAATTCAACGTGAAGCGACACACAACAAAGAAAAATTTCAACATGGGATAGGTTAATATATTTTTTCGTACATAATCAGTTATCTGAACAACCTCAGTCCCCAATTGATTTGGATAAACTACACTTTACTGTAATTTAAGTACATATACACACAATTTATATGTTAAATCCAATCTTTAGCCAAAGCCATCATATTAACTGTCTGTGATCATATATATAAGTACTTAAACGTTTTTCTAGTAGCTTCACAGTTCTTAATATTTCATCTAGTGATGATACTAAAATTTAAAAAATATTAATCATAAATAAACATAAAAAAATACAAGCTCTTAACTAAATAAATTCTTGTATACATAAAATAAATTCCAAATACTACTACAATATTAGTAATTCAGTTTCTTTGAATATTTCAATATTCAAACTAGAGATGCCACGAATATTCGGCTACTATTCGGTATTCAGCCGAATACCAAATCATAAAAAAAACAAACACATACATATTACTCAAAACATATTTATTTTAATCATAAATTACTACATTTAATACTTAAAATCTATCAATGGCAAGTTGTGATGAATGAAAACAATTTTTTCAGCATTTGTTGATAGCAAATGATTGTGCTTTTCCTCATAAACTATACCTGCTTCTGAAAATAGCCTCTCACTATATACTGTAAGGAACCAAGTCTGAGTGTTATTTTTAGTTACTTTTATTTTTGCTTCTATTCTATTTTTGTTTGGGGCTTATGTTTTGTTAGGATGAAGGTTTCCTCACCACTCACCTTAGAAACTTAAAAATAGAAGAAGAGAAACCAACTCACCGACGAGAGAAAAGCACCGTGGATAAAACTCACGCACACTTGCGCTCCCGAGCGGAAAAAGTAAGTCCGCACTGAGAAAGAGGGGGGGAGACCCCACAAGCACAACTTAGGAACTTGCTAAACCTTATAGAATAAAACATCCTGAAAATTGTCAAAAAGAATAATGTAAAAGATTAGCGAGTATTGTCAGAAAATAGACTGTCAGGCAAACAGAAAAAATTTATTGTTAGCAATAAGTATGTAAATGAGGGGAGTGATCGCTCTCAGAATTGTGACGTCATCTCACAGTATAAAGACTGAACCTCAAGTGAAGGTGACTGAGGTGAGCTTCTGTTATCAACGAGCGTGGTGAGCTTCATAGCAGCAAACGAGAGAGAGGTATCCGATAGGATAAAGTAGTTCCAAGGCAAATTTGAAGTTATTCGATTTGTGGATCGAAGGCTAGAGAAAGTCTTGAGAGTTGAGGAAAAAGGTTCCTAGTATATTGAGGTGACAATTAAAACCTTTAATTCGTAAGAATTATTGTACATAAGTTAATTCTTTGAAATTTTGTCAAATTCCAAAGGGGAATAGAGTTAAGTTAGAAAATAATTGATTTGAGTTTTGTTGGGTTGATTCTTATTGATTTACATGAATAAATTGTTATTTGATTTTTACTAAATTTTGTATATAGTTATTACTAGAAATTTTATTAAATATTGGCTTGGTTTTGATTAACTTTGTCATTATTTAATTCGGTGCACGCTTAAAGTCCAGGCCTGGCACATTAACGCGAATCCGCATAAAGTACCCGTTAGATAACGGCTATTTCCGGCACACAGTCGTGTCGATAATTGTTGGAAAAGTCTGAAAAATAATATAGTATTTTACTATACACTACTGTCGGGAGACAATAGATAAATCTTAGCAAATTCTGTCAGGCTTGGATACTGTTTTGCGTTTGCTGACCACCACTTGTAAAGGTCTGCCGTCTGATGTAGATGAATAGTTTTCATATAAAGTGATACAGTGATATTTTTTTAGTAATAAGGACTATTAGTAACACAATTTGATGTAACAATGAACAAATAATGCACGTTGTGACATGATCTACTTGCAAATAAAACAAATGCACCCACAGTGTTGCTACTGCACCCACCGCA